TGACAAGCCCTTCAACCTTAGGACTATTCTTGTAAACCTCCTGTGGCCACCCGCCAACACCAGCACATCCTTCCCTAGAAACGGGCCAAAACTGCTCACAATCTTCCAAATGCAGTCTGACCAGAACCTTATACAGCTTCAGCCGTACATTTCCGCCTTTCCATTCTAGCCCTCTTGAAATGAATGTTAACATTGCATTTCTCTTCTAATCGCCAATTAACTTACATGTTAACCTTAAGAGAACCCTGGATTGGGACTCCCAAGTTTCTTTGCACTTCAGATTTTCAAAGCCATTCCCTGTTTAGAAAATAGTCTATGCGTCTATTCTTCCTACCAAAATGTATAACCTCACACTTCACCACATTATATTCCATCTGCCACTTCTTTACCCACTCTCCTAGTCTGTCCAAGTCCTTCTGCAACCACCCTGCTTCCTCAACACTATCTGCTCCTCTGCCTACCTTTGTGTCATCTCCAAACTTAGCAACAATTCTCTTAGTTTCTTTGTCCAGATCGTTAATGTATAATGTGAATAGTTGTAGTCCCAATACTGACCCTTGCAAAACTCTACTAGTCACTAGCTGCCATCCTGAAAACAATTCTTTTATCTCCACTCTCTGTTTCATGCCAGTACATTGCCCCTAACACCATAGGTTCTAATCTTATTCAGAAACATCTTGTCAAAAGCCTGCTGGAAATCCAAATAGATTAAATCAACTGGCTGTCCTTTGTCTAATTTCCTCATTACATCCTCAAAGAATTCTAACAGATTTGTCAGGCGTGACCTCCCTTTGACAATGCCGCACTGACTGCACCCTATTTTATCGTGCACTTGCAAGTATTCTGCAATATTACCCTTAGAAATGGACTCCTAAAATCTTACCAATGACCGAGGTCAGACTAAATGGCCTATAGTTTCGAGTCTTCTGCCTGCTTCCCTGACTCCAATGATTCCTGAAAGATCATCACCAATGCCTCCACAATATCCTCATCTATTTCCTTCAGAACTCTCAGGATGTAATCTATCTGGTCTGGATGATTTATCCACCATTAGATTTTTCAGCTTCCCCAGCATCTTCTTCTTACTGACGGTCACTACACTCATCTCTGTCCCTGACTCTCTTGAAGTTCTAGTATGTTGCTGGTGTCTTCCACTATGAAACCTGATGCAAAGTATCTATTCCTCTGACAGTTCTTTGTTCCCTGTTACTACTACTCCAGCCTTATTTCCAGCAGTCCAATGTGCACTCTTGCCCTTCTCTTACCTTTTAGATATCTAAAACACTCTTGCAACTTTCTTTCATGTTGCTAGTTAGCTTATTTTCATATGTCATCTTCTCCCCCTCTTATTGCTTTTTTAGTTAACCACTGCTGGTTTTTAAAGTGTTCCCAATCCTCTGGCTTCCCACTAATCTTCACCACATTGTATGTTTTCTCTTTTGCTTTTATGGTGTTCCCAACCTCCCTTCTCAGCCAAGGTTGCCTCATCCTCTCCTCAATATGTTTTGTCTTCCTTAGGAGGAATTTCTGCTGTGCCTCCCAAATTACCCCCCAGAAACTCCTGCCAATGCTGTTCCACTGTCTTCCCTCCCAGGCTTTCCTTCCAATCAACTCTGGCCAGCTGTTTCTTCATGTTTTTGTAGTTACCTTTACTCAGTTCTAATATTGATAGATCCGATACATTTTTCTCTCTCTCAAACTGCAGAGTGAATTCTATCATGTTATGGTCACTGCTGCCTGGGATTCCTTCACCTTCAGCTCCCTATTCAAGTCTGCCTCATTACACATCACCAAATCCAGAACTGCCTGTTCCCTAGTGGGCTGTACCAGAAGCTGCTCTAAAAAATCCATCTCTTAGACATTCCGTGAATTCTTTTTCATGAGAACTGCTACCAGCCTGATTTTCCCAGTCCACCTGCATATTGACTACATGATTATTGTAATAATGTATTACGTGTGTATTACCTGTACTACATTCAATGTTGTATCCACAAACTGAATTTTTTTTAGTTAGTGAATATTGCTGAGCATTATTTGTATAATGGATCTAACATGGAGGATATTGATTTGCTGTGAGAATAATTAGGCCCTACGTGTTCCCACCAATGGTGAGACAAAGAAGTAGATGTCCAAGGAATAGAGAGAGACTGAAGGGCTACTGAGATAAGGAAGACAAAGTCATTGAAGGACTTAAAAACAAGGGCAGACTTTTAAATTTTGAGGTATTGAATCAGTTTTCTATAAAAGTTTACCTTCAAGATACGAGTAAGTGGCATAATATTCCTCGAGCTTGTATCTTCAGTTATGTGTTCAGATTAGAAAAGCTGGGATCGATCACTCCAAAGCAGAGAAGATAAAGTGGAGATTTAATAGAGGTGTTCAATATTATGTAGATTTTGATCAAGCATTGGGAGATACTGTTTCCAATGCCAGGTGGGTCACTAACCAGGGGACACAGATTTAAGATAATTGACAAAAGAACAAAATAGTTGATTAGAAATTTTTTAATACATGAGTATTGGAATCTGGAATCTGACCTACTCTTACTCCTAACTTATATTAATATTGAAACCACTGTTAGGGTGGTGGAAGCAGATTCAACAGTAATTTTCAAAGTCGAATTAGATGAATATGTAAAAGAAAGAAAGGGCAGAGGGATTAAAACTAATTTTCTAGGTGATGCCGACTGCCACTCACAAGGTCCTCACCTCACACTCTCCTCTTTAATGATTTTTTAAATCTTCTTTTTCAAGCAAAAAAAAGATCCAACTTGCTTATTCTTTCCAAATATGTGTGCTGTCACATCTCTGGTATCATTCTTGTAATTTCTCTTCATTCTCTCCAATGCTTATGATATGGCACCCAGAATTGCACACAGTCCTCGAAGTGTGGTATAACCAAGGGTCAATACAAGTTTAGCATGATGTCCCTGCTTATCTTTTTTTTGTAGCTTTTTATGTTATGGCCTTTCTAACCTGTGACTGATGTACTTTTACACTGAGATCTCTTTGTTTCTGTACGCACCTGGTGTTATTATTCCAGTTTATAGAATAACACACAAGACAGGTCAGATTCTAGAGACTTGACAGACCAATTTAAAGTATAGCTCGTATTTTCCCTTTAAAATTTCTTACACAACAGATGAGGTTGTAAGTGTTTCCTTTTGGCAACTTTCTGTACATTCACCAGATGTGATTCTTTCAGTGTCTCCTCAAGACACATAAACAGGCTAACTCTCTGACTTTTCTCTGATGTTGACTAGTTTGAGGATACTAAAACCACTTAATACTTACGTCTAGTTCTGTTGGTCTGAAGACTTGCACTAACTAAACTGCCCTTCTGTTGGTATGGATTCTTATCTTTTCAGCTCAACATTCTTGTGGCCCCGTGGTGTGCCCTTCTCTGGTAATTAAAACTCAAGTCAACCTTAAGCAGCAAATATAGCTTAAGTCATAAGACTTTTCATAAAGATTATCTTTAACTCACAGTTTGAAATGAAAATTTCTGGCCCTTACTTAAAAAAAAAACAGACCTTCATACCACTGAAATCCAAAAACCCGCTTACCTTTACTTTAGAGTCCAAGTCCTCAAAATAATGAAAATATATAGTGAACTTGCATTACAATGTATTTTCATCTTCCAAGTAATGTGACCTCCTTGTACTTCTGACCAAAATGTATATTCTCAGATTTATCTATGTTGTACTTCATTTGCCAATTATTTGCCCATTCTGTAATAATGTATTCCTGTATTTTGTTGCAATTGACTATCTCCTCCTCAATATATTCCCCTTCCCAGTTTGATTCCATTTACAAATTTAGATATTGTGATTTTGATTCCAAAGTCCATACCATTAATGTAAATTGTAGGCAGTGGTGGCCCCAGCAGTGGTGATCCTTGTGGAACACCACTTTCCATCTGCCACTTACCTTGCCTTTTACACCCAGTCTATACTGCAACACTGGAAACTTTGGGCTTGGGTTCGAGGAGCACATTGATGTGGACACCAAATATGATCCTAGAATTGGAACTTATGGTCTGGATTTCTATGTGATCATGGGATGGTCTGGTTTTGGCATTTCTGACAATAATGTAGAAAGGGGGCACAACAAAATTTTCAAGGAAAAATCAATGAGGTGGTTTCAGGAATCCTCCTGCCTGGAAAATAATGTGAAGAGCCCATGTAAAATATACTGTTTCATCTTGCAGTTCTATTGGAAATCCATTCTTCTGAATGCCTCATTATTTGGTATTACCTGTCCTCATTCAGTTAAAGACACTATATTGAAGGCCTTTTGAAACTCAGATAAGTTACGTTTGTTGCATGACAACTACCTGTTCACTCTGTTCCTGCCTCAAAAAAATCAATAGATTTGTCAAGATTTTCAATTGTGAATTTCAGATAGCCCTTGAATTGTTATTTATTTTCGCTTCTGTTCTCTCAATCCCATTAATTTTTCGTAATACCAATGTTAAGGTGACTGGAAGTGTTTTTATCCATCTTCAAGAGTTATCTCAACCAGTAACATAGTACTAAACCCTTTTCTAACAAATAAGGCATGTCTTTGCAATCTCTTCCCTAGATTCTTTTAAAATGCGTGGGTGCAATTCTTCCGATGAGTTTTATCCTTTTCGATTCCATCTACTTTGACAGGAATTTGAGCTGGAACATACCGCGTTTATTTGAAAAACGGGTGGCTAACCGTTAAGGGTAACTGGCGATTTGAAAAAATATGTAATTTAGAAGTTGCAAAAATATTCATCAACCTTTTGCAAAATGAAATTTAGCAGTTCATTTTTGTCTATCTATAAGACCGATTGTTTGTTGTCTATTAACTTTCACCCATCAGTCAGGATGCTATTTTCTGCTTCAGATGCTTTGGATTTTGTATATGTGTGCTGCTAAAGTGGAGATAATCTTATCTGTGATTTGTTATTTCAGGAACATGCCCTGAAGCAATTTCCTTTAGCTCAGGGTTGGGGGCGGGGCCTAGAGCCCAGATCACGCACGCGCAGCTGCTCTCCTCCACCCCACTGCCGAAGCGGGACGGTTTTCTTTGCGACCGGCGGGAGGTAACCGATTACCGTCAAGGTCCGAATTCGTGGTACGGAAGCAGTTGGCTTATCTTTTATTTAAGACAAAGCCAGCAATGCAACCGGAGTGCGGAGAGCGACGCGGCGAGAGCCGGGAAAACTCGAGCGGTGCGGGGAGTGTCTGAGAGTCCGGGTGGCGACGGCGAGTTGGGGAGGGGGAAGCGAGTCCCGGGCGGAACGTTCCCTGGGGGTTTGGGGGCGGTGGAGTAAGAGAGATTCGTTCCGCGCTGGCAGCGAGCCCAGGCGCCGACAGCCATGAAGAAAAGCCGGGAGGACGATCTGGCGAACGCGGCGCTTGAAGCGGCGTCACCTCCCAGGGGCACTACCGAGAGCCTGGTGCCCGATCCCGACTCCGGCCCCCGGGGAGACCTCAGCTCGATCGGCTCCGGCTCCGACTCCGAGATCAACGGCTTTGTCAATGGGGACCAGAAGATCGACAAGTATGGCTTTGTCGGCGGTGCTCAGTACACGGGAGACCTGTGAGTCTGAAGGGATTTTTCTCTTTTCTCTCTTTCCAGCGCTCGGGCCACGATCCAAGCTTTCCTTCCAACCGCAGAAATCACAGTCGCAGCGCAGAGGCAAAACTGCAGTTCGAAGTTTTACATAACTTTCCTTAGTTCACTCCTTCCCCTGTGTGGTCCAGCGTCAATCAAACAAATTCCAAGTCGCCCCCCCCCCCCCCACCAAAAAAAAAAGCTGTTTAACATTATTTTTGTGTCTGTCTGCCTCCCTCATATATACCTAATATATAACTGAGATCTCAGGCAGGCTAGTGAAATATTAGAAATGGAACCCTATTTTGTACTTACTGAGAAAAGTGTGTCTTTTTGTAATTAAAGTGACATGTTTTTCCGAATGCACTGAAGGAGTAGGTGCAAAAAGGGCCCAAAGTCTGGTAACTGACTGGATGGAAGAACAACCAGTAACCCCACCTCTAGGAACCCGAGGGGGAAACTCGAAGGATATCCCTTAAACCATTGGCGTTATAAACGTAGCCATTACTGTGGAGGAGAAAAGGGGCTTTTCGAATTGTAAAGGCTCGAGAAAAATATACCATGTGCAATGATAATGGGAATTATTAAAGCTTTTAAAAGCAGTGAAAATGTAGCAATGTTTCTCAAAGTAGTTATGGTGATGACGTGGGAATCATTGGCGTTTTACTCTAACAAGCTGGGAAAATACATGTTCTGCCCAGTCCTTTTTATCTTGTGGGTAGAAAGCTCCCACATGTACATTTGAAAGTCTGTGTGTGAATATATTTTGTTACTAAATAACTGACCATTTTAGCTTTGTAATACAGAATCTTGGTTTGGTTTGTAGCTTGTCTTCCTAGAGGACCCTTGGATGAAAGACCAAGACAGTAAAGTTGAAGAGTGGGAATTGTGATTTGATAGGTGGTCTAATCAGGTTTAATATGGTAAAGCTACTCCTAGCTTTTAAAACAAAAGGAAGTAAAATAGAATAGTTTTTTTTAAAACAGGACTTGATGCCTCAATTCTGAAATCTACTAAAATGTTTGAAAACGTAATACTTTTTTGAAATTGTAGTCTTATAAAATTATTGTATTATGAATTGACTATTGGAAAATGAGTAAATTAGATGGAGTAATCGATTTAAGCGGAGTCAATTTTCCTATTATTAAAGGAAACATGGCAATTCTCAAGATAACTGTACATCTCACTTTACAGCTAATAAAATACTTCTGAAGTGTGGTCACTGTTGTGGCAGTTAACTTTGCACACAGCCATTTCCCATATTTTAATAAGACAGTTATGGCTTGCTTCTCTTTTCTCCTTTTCCTATTCTCCACTGCCAAAAGGTTGTGTCAACTTCTGTTATGTTACAATTTCACCCGTGCTGGTTCCTTTCTGGCCTTTTCCTAAATGACCATTCTTGATTTGAATGAAGATAATGTGTTCATTGATCACTTTTTTCTTTTGAAGTGGGAAGTTGACCGCAGTGTAGCCTACATCATGTGTGCAATTTCCAGCAGGTGGTTTCTGAATCAAATGCGAGTGCTTTCCTTAATGTAGAGATATTGTGGCTAATAACATATGCCACCTTACCTTGGCAGCGAGGTTTTAATATATTGTATTAATCTGGAATTATACCTAATATATAACTGACATCTCAGGCAGGCTAGTGAAATATTAGAAATGGAACCCTAGAGATAGTAGGAACTGCAGATGCTGGAGAATCCGAGACAACAAGGTGCAGGGCTGGATGAACACAGCAGGCCAAGCAGCATCATAGGAGCAGAGAGCCTCTCTGCACCTAGAAATGGAACCCTATTTTGTTTGCTCCAGATTTGATCTTTATTTTCCTCACTCCTGTGTATTCATATACTTTTGGTTTGAAGGTTGCCCCAGATTGTTGTCAGTGTCAGTATTGAGTTTGCAAATGATCCTTTCTGAACTTTTGGTCTATTTGCTCTTTGTTTGGGACAAACCGTTGGAGCCACACTTGCTATCTTGAACTCATGGGGTCAGAGACAATGAATACAGACTTGTACCCCATGCTATGCTGCTCCATCAGGTCACTAAGAATGCGTGTTAATTTGTTTTCAGAGTGAATTCTAAACAACAGAAGAGAATAGAATTATCCATCTTGCTTCAGTCATTAAGAATAGGAATTCTCAAAAGATTTTTGAAAATGTTATTTAAGGCAATCAAACTTAAGTGAATAGGCCCACAAAAATACTGTAGCTGCAAGACCAAATTAGAAGCAGCCATGATGTTGCAAATGAAATATAAAAGTAAATCCTAATTGAGAAATGTACGGTTTTATAAATCCTTGATCCTCTCATAGAAGGTTGAGTGCATTTTTTTTGAATTTTGAAGATAATATACTTGAGTAATAGTTAACTTGTAGGGCATTAATGTTAAGGTAATATTTGTAGAATCACAATGCCTGCAGTGTGGAAGCAGGCCATTCGGCCCAACAAGTCCATGCTGACCCTCCAAAGAGCATCCCACCCAGACCCATCCGCTATCCTATTCCTGTAACCCTGCATTTCCCATGGCTAGCACATCTAATCTACCCCTGAATACTAAGGGCAATTTAGCATGGCCAATCCACCTAGTCTGCACATCTTTGAACTGTGGGAGGAAACTGGAGGACCTGGCAGAAGCCCATGCAAACACGGGAAGAATGTGCAAACTCCACACACTGTAGGCTGGGGCTGGAATTGAACCTGGGTCCCTGGTGCTGTGAGCCATCAGTGCTAACCACTTGATCACTGTGCCGCCCAATTTTTCTTTTTCTCCTTAATATTTCACCCATCTTTGTAAATGGGTAGATCTGCTTTTAACAATTTAGAAAAAAATTGAGATGTGGGCATTTCTGGGATGACTAGCATTTATTGCCCATCACTAATTGGCATTGAAAAGAGAGTGAGTTAGCATCTTGAACCACATGAATCCATGTTGAAGGCACCTGCACAATGCTGTAGGGTAGAGAATACCAAGATTTTGACTCAATGATGAAGGCATGACATGTATTTCCATGTTAGTGTATAATTTAGAGGGGAACTTGCTATTGTCTCTCTGATTAGCCTTAGGAGGGCTGACATAGAGACTTTGTTCATTTGCCTTTGGGAGTCAGGAGATGAGTCTCGTGATCAAATACTAAGTCTCTGACCTTGTCCTGCAGCTACAGTATTTGTGCAGTCAATTATGACCTCGGTGTTAGAGATGGTCAATGCTTGACATTCGTGTTGGTGAACGCTACTTGCCCAAGTCTGATTATTGCCCGTGTCTTAGTACAAGCAGGCGTGGACACCTTCACTTCTCTAACAAATTTATTATTGAAACTGTGCACTGCAGTCATCGGTGATCCCATCCCACTCTGGTCTTATGATGGAGAGCAAGCCATTGAAGAAGCTGAATATGATTGGGTTGAAGATGCTGTACTGCAGTACTCTTGCAGTGCAGTATTGCTGTCCTGCAGTGATACTCCTATCACTAAGTATTTAAAGAGGAGGTAGGTTTTTGAAATTGAGCATTGAGGGCTATGGAGAACTGGCATGAAAGTTGTTGAGGCCTGGGACAGATCAGCAATTTCTTTAAGAATGGCCAGGCAGGATTGTGGGGCTGAATGCCTACTCCTGTTCCTATTTCTTGTGATCTTATACAGTGATGTCCTGGACCAGGACTCCCTGACGACTGCAGATCACTACCTTCTGCTAGGTACGACTCCAATGTGCCCAATCCCCATTGACCTCCGTTTTATTGGAATTTTTTGGTAGCCATTCTCACCTCACTTCTGGAATTCAGCTCTGGTCCAAACCTAGATGGATGAAGTCTGAAGCCAAGTGGTCTGAGTTGCACCCAAATTGAACATCGGTCATAAGGTTTGATGTATATAATTGCCCCTTGATGACCTTTTGGATGGCATCTTCCATTGCTTTGTTGATTAGGCTGATGGAATGTACTTTAGATTGTGCAAAACGTCTGCCACATTTTCTGTTTTGTGGACAGGACATATTTGGACAATTACACACGTAACAAGTTATCAATTATTGTTTGTGTTACCTCCGTCCTCTTAGTAGCTCCCTTTCCCTAGTAGTCTTTGCCAGGACTTCATAAATGACTATTTAAGAATCTAGGAGAAGAATGCAGATTTGAGTAAAATATCTCTGCTGAAAAGATGCTTCATGTTTAATTCATTATCTAAACCAGATGAATGGAATGATCAAAATTAACTAAGGTTTTGCATGTGATAAAGATCTTCATTTTATGCAGGGTCTGAATAGGTTTTGTAGTGCACTTCTGGCACAGTGTTGCTTTGAGGTGCTGTTGATTTTTACCATGTTCTGAATTTGGCAGCCCTTTTGCATGCAGCATCTTTCAAGCAGCAGTTACATGAATGACCAGGTAATCTGTTTTAGGAGGTATAGTTAAGAATAATATCGGTTCTTTCTTTTGGAGATTTCCCTTCCCTGCTCTTTAAAACTAGTAGGGTACCATTCAATGTCCACATTAATAAGCAACTGAGCATTTCATATGAAGAATGATATCTCTGACAATATGCATTACCTTGTATTTCATTGAGATGTCCTGCTAATTTGTGCTTATGTCATGGATGGCAACTTTAGCTAAACCTTTTGAGTAAGTGACTTGAATAACCTAGTAAATGTGTCAATGCAATTCATATAAGCATGTTACTTTAACTTTTTTTAGCATCATCTTAAAGTGATGGATTGTACAAGCATTTTTTGATTTGTTGAGAGTTCTTTGTAGATAGACAGCAGTTTTTATTGGACAGTCCTATTTCAATTACTATTGATGTGTTAATTTCCCAGTCACTGATCTTTCTTTTGACCAAAGTGACAATGTAAACAAAAAGTGAGCAACTACATCTAATGATCTAAAGGCTACAATGTGCAAATAATGGACCTGAGCCGTAGGTGCATTTTATATGTTTGTATAGGAGGCCCAGATTACTGTTGTCCAAAGTTTTGGCATTTGCCCAACAATTG